CCCGTAAATTTTGTTTTAAAATCCACGTATTAAAACATCTCATAAAAAAATGCCCTTGTGTCTCTGGTAGAGATGTTGGCACGATCGATCAACTTAGCAAAATTGGCCACTCCAAATTCAATGACGATATTTATGGGTAGATATTTCGACTAAATATGCGAACTCTTTCTCTTTTATAGATAACCTCTTAGTGCACAAATGAGAAGAATTCTAGATGTCACTACTTCAACCAGGCTACTCAAAATACCTGGGGGACTATTTTGCACATTGTTCGTATGGAAGGGAAAATTCAGTAGAATGTTTAATGTTTATGAAAGAGCTTTATGAAAGAATTAAATCAAAAATAGAAGTGATGAAGAATGGACGGCTACCATCCCTGGATGTTGGGGAGATTTGCTCTAACGTAACATTCGTATAAAGATTATTCAGAAGGAAGTCGCATAGAGGAATAATCCTCAATTTCCTGTCTCGTCATAGGTACAGTCTGAATTTGAGATTCATTAGAAGCCTAAAGATAATGGACTTGAAGTTCTAGGAATAATAATTGAACTTATTGACTCTGATGCCTCTCAGTAACGAATACCTCAAAGAAATTATGTAAAGTAATACGCAGGCCGTAAAACCAGATGGGAAAATGAGTATTATGACAATGGGATAAGCTGAGTTAAAAGCCTCAAAGTGTATATCCCTACTCCTGTATAAACTTAGTCAAAAGCCTGGATTGGTATTAAAAAAATAGGATATCGGTGAATAAAGACGACAATTTAAAAGCTAGGCCATGCAACACGAGGTGATCAAACCGGATTGCTCTGGAGTTTATGGCATGACGTAAAGTGCTTGTGATTAAAAATAAATATATTGACGAAACGAAAGAGAATTCAGATTAGGAGTAAAGGCACACCGAAAACAGCCTATACATTGATACGAAGTGGTCAGAAGAAGAAGAATTCGTTACATGAACAGACATGGGATATACGTCAACGCAACGGGAGGACTTGCTGCATCCAGTGCAAATAAAAAGAAAATTGGGGTTAGATGGGGGGTCAATAGGAAACTGAAAATATCTTTGCTGTGGTCTTATTCAAACCAAGAAAAAAAGCAATAATATTTTGAAGTTTGGCACACAAATGAATAGGGAACAGCATAGTTCCAGTCTTCATACACATTTAGATTATCGACAGAGTAGCTAGGCCAGTGAAGATTATATACATGAGTTATCGGTTGATTCATAGTTCACGAGTTAAATCCTGGAGGCGGCCTGTGACATTTACTCGTATCGAGTAGGTTCCGAGACTATTACTAGATCGTGAATGCGATATTAGAGAGGCTTGGTTCGTCTTCAAATCCACTGCGGCTCTGTGACTGGAATTAGTAGTACTATGGCGAAGTGATAACAGATCGAGATTATGCACCGCACTGAGTTTGATTCCCTTAAGAGTACTGGTAAGACCCAGGATAGGTCGGAACTATAGTCTAACTTGGGTGAGAATAGCTTTTGGAAAGAAATGCTAAACTTACGGAACTCAAATGAGATTTAATTGCTTTATAGTGAATAAGAATTATCAAAAAGTGTCAGAACCAGGGCTTTGGAACTCTTGAGGCTGATCATATGATTTGGCGCCTTGCGTATTGTGAATACGGAGAAAAGGGCTTTCAGATTGGAAGGGCCAAGTCAGATAGGCATTTCCGACATATTAGGCACATTTCTAGAGTTGTTCAAAATAAGCAAGTCAGAAGTTGTAAAGGCAGAGGCTATGGAATGGGTAAATGTACCAGGACAGGAGAAGTACCAGTACTATTCGCCAAAATGTTGGTCAAGAGATGAACTGCATTTGTCTCTTCACCGAGATGTAGCTTGGTGCCAAGAGTATCAAGATTCACTGACGATGCTTGCGAAATGTCTAAAAATGTACCAATTCCATAGTCCGAAAGTGGAAATTATGATATGGCAGAGGACATCGGGCTGGCTTATATCTTCGAGGTCACCCAAAAATACGATTAAGTTGCGAAAACGAGTTCAGACTATTTCTATGCAACTAAAAAAGATTGAGCTTAGACTAGAGGTCCCACCATCTTTTCCTTCATATCACTAAGATTAACTCTGTATTCTTACGATTGTATTAACTTGCTTACGCACACATTTACAATGTATGTGCACTCAACCTCATCGCACAAACTAATCAATCTCAACCACTTAGTGGGTCTTGCTTTTTCATAAGCATACGCTTCTGTTGCTTTCTTATATTCAAGTGTATACCAACATTAAGTAATCTATACGCAGATTCTTTCATCTCATGGATTTTAGTTGTGCACCGCTTAAGTCTAAACTTATTTTCCTCTTTAGTTGCGCCGGCTTAAGATTTCCCGTGAATCACTGATTAAGCCTCCTACCCGCCCGATCACAAATTCTAACAGCCTATACTACTCCGATTACGATTCGGCGACTTCCTCTGTCCCAGAGAATACAACGCTCATATCGAATGACCAGTCGAACCACCTAGTCTCAGGGGCTGTTTCGACGACTACACTTGTGCCTTCAGCTTTGCCTACTCCACTCGCAGTTTGCGATTTATCAAATATGGCAAGGAAAAAGAAGCTCTTTGATGACCTGGCCAAAGTTGACCAAAATGTGCTGGTTCTCAATATGATGCTTGCAGAGAACGCCGAACTGGCCAATTCTGTTGAACTCTCAGATGACACAAAAAGTCTGATGCAGGTCGTTTGCCATGTGCTGTTTATTATCCTTACATTATATAAAAATTTTCTATTTTATTATAAAATATTCATCGTAAATTATATATTCTCTATCACACTTGAAAGCGTCTTATTCGATGTAAGATTCTTTAACTAATAGACCATTTTTTTGGGATGACGCCCATAGATTGATCGCCAATTACAATCTTAACTTTGATTATTTTAGGGCTCTCCTTCCAAGAATATAAAGCTCTTATCTTTCCTGATGAAATTGGAATGTCTTTTGCACTGATTTAATAAATGCCCTATAAACACGATGTTCCAATGATTGTTAAATTTTCACTTCAAGGAGATGAGTAGGCCCCATGCTGTCATTGAATTTCACTAAGCCTTGCCCAACAAAAACTTATCTCATTCAAAGTAGACTGTAGCTTCAGCCTCGCCTAGGCATCCTTATCAGCCCTAACTGGATTCGATACCGGTCGTGGGTATCGTGACGAAGTTACTACTCTTCATCAAACAGCCACGGTTTCCAGGGCATCACAGGGCTGATGCAACATTCAGTACAAAGTAGGCCTCTTCCAATTCACATTTTTTCACTTTGGAATTGCCGACTAAGCAAATTTGTTTGCCAGTCCAATCGACGACTAATTATTACTTATATAAGTAGTTTTCCAGATTATCAGTGATTGCTAAATAAGATCTATTGTTCACTGTAAAATTTTTATTTGGGAGAGGCCTTGTTTGTCTTGAATTCCGCATCTGCCCTGCGACCCATTGGCACCCTTGGCTGTGTAGTATAGTGGAGTTGCAATATAGCTATGATTCTTATGTCCAGGTATTGAATCCCATTCGGGTTCTGGAGCATAACTAGGATAGGTTAATAGTACAGGTGCGATCTGAATAAGATAAGCTTCTGAGAGCCAAGGCTAGATGAAATTTAATAGCATCGTGAGCCCTTCTCATTTCAATTTTGGAGAAACTCATCTATTAGTCCTTGAATCATTTTACACGATCCAGTCTGCTAGGCTCTTATTCGTGATTTACTGATAGTCTTTAAAATTACTTATATTGAAAATGTATTCACCTACCTCCTATACACACGGAATCTTCATTCATTTTGCTTCATTCACTGATCAAGAGCTTTCTATTGTGCTCCAGACTGCTTATTTCTTAGTCTTGATTGAGAGTATTCGCAACCTAGCCTAACCAAAGGCATAAGGAGGATTACGTCATATCTAAGATCGTTTACTTGTGCGCAATAGTCATCAATGTGTCGTCTTGCTATTATAATAATTTTTTATTGATCTTTCTTCTATTATGTTAAGTCACTTCTTAGTGAAGTTTCTCAAATCAATTCACGAATGGTAGCCGGCATCCTGCGATTGGGTTTTTAATTAAGGGCATTTTTGATGATTTATTCACTGATCTGGTACTTTCTTTTAAATTTGTTTGATTTCATTTTACTGGGCTGCAAAAGATATGTTTATATTTTATTTACTTCATGTCATTATCAGGCAAAAGAATGAATAAGATCGATGTTATATCATACTTTGTCTAAGTATTTATTACAAATCTTTTCACCCCTCTCTTTAGGCCTTGGCTAGTGCTATCACTGCGATGTCCGATCGTCTAGTGAGCCTTATCCCGCGTTGGGAGGCTTTAGTTGAGCAAAGTGGTGAACATCATAACGAAGAGTTGGATGAAATAACGATGGAGTTACTAAGCCACAATGATTCTTGTAACACAGTACTCACTAGATACAACCGGTTTGTGCGTACTCTGGCTGCAGGAACGGTTAGCTGGATCTATCTTCAAAAACACTCTCGAATTTATATTTCGTTACTCACTTTTTTTCACTGCTTATTTTTCTGTAGTGCCCGCACATTAAGTTTTTATTTGTAATTACATTTTGAAGGATTGTCGGTTTGTGTGTATATAGCTAAGGACCAGAATTTGAAACGATCAGTATATCCTAAATAAGAAATTGAGTCTAAATTTTTTACAGTTATATAAAGGCTAAGGTCTGAATTTCCTCTTTTCGATGGTAATATTTATACTTTATATTATATTATTATATTTTTTAAACAAGTAATATCATGGCTTCTCCGACTTCCCAAGTCTATGCTTTATACACGTTGAATAAATAATTCAAAAAGCTCAAACTTAGATGATGATTCATCGCTACTTTTTGCCATACACCTATGCTATAGGGATTATAAAAAGTTATCCACATCTTATTTTAATTGTGGATCCAACTTTTAGTTCTGTCCGAGCAGCAGAATGCCTATCTCATTAAAGTCTTTTTTAGTTAGTCTCTTCATTTTACCAGAATTTGTCAGACATCTCAGTTTGCTTTACCAAACCCATTAAATTTTTGTACAGTTATTTTAATGCTCGTTTGGCTAATAGTATGTCCTGGTTTTCGGCATGGCTGCCTATGTTTTGCTACAACCTGACTTGTTTGTTGGTTGAT